TTAATAAAGAAAGAAAAAACCCCAGCCACTAGAATGCCTTCCTGTAATTAAAGGCATCTGAGCCTAATTGCAAGACAGCTGATTGCGTTCAAGGGGACCAACAGAAGCAGGAGCCCAGGTGTGTCCTATTGAACAGCCCCACAGAACCAGGGAGGCCGAATTTGCTCCTTGCCAATCCCAGACCAGGCAAACGGCAGCCTCAGAGAGACCGGGTCGCCCTCCCGGCCTTTCTCCGGACCGTCCTCTCCATCCCTGGCTCTCCTTAAACCCCACCACGGCACTCACCATCAACGCCGGAGCCCCTGCCAGGTTGCCGCCGATTGCCGTGAAGTTGAAGGGAGAGACGGCTGCCACGAAACCCTGCGGGTGGGAGAGGAAAAGCAGCGGTGGGAGTGCGGTGCCTCCTCTCACTGTGGCGTGACACCGCAGTTTGGGGTAAAAAAAGGAGCTCCAGAAGCAGGGGAACAGCCTCTCACCTCCAGCCCCCGGTACACCATGCTGTTAGTGCTGATGTCCACGCTGATGGGCTGGCTGTTCTCCAGCTCCAGGGCGTACTTGGCATTGAATCGGAAGAAGTCTATCAGCTCTGCAGCGGCATCGATTTCTGCCTGGATGACTGTTTTACCCTGCCGGGAGAGGTCGCGTTAAATAACAGCAGCGAGGAGGGGGGGGAATGCCGCAGCCGTGAGCCGCGGCAGTGCGGCACAGCGCATCCAGGTGCGGTTTGTGCGTCGCCTCTCTGGCGCAGACCACGTGCTCGCTTCCGAAAGATGTGGCCTCCTGCAAGCCCCCATCCCGCCGCGCCTCCTTGGCACCAAGCGGAGGCCAACGCAGCCCGTGCCTGCGCCAGGGGAGGTCGCACCTGCCCGTGTTCCCCCACAGCCCTTTCGTGCCTCCCCGGGGAAAGCCAGGGCTGCTGGGGCGTTTGCCAAGGGTTAACCCCAATAATCGCAGCCCACATCAGCCGATCCTGTTCCCGGGAAGCTTCAGGACTCCCAGCTTCACCTCCCTTCTTTCGCAGCAAAGAGGCAAGGATGGGCTTTAGGATCGGCCTGTTTCCCCTCGCAGTACAGCGACAGGCACTTCTAACATTACAGCCATTTCCAATGCCAAAAAATACCTTGGCAGCTCTTCCTGCCCTGCTTCCCTGGCTCCCGGCTCCCCACATTCCCTCCTGTTCACCCCAGCTATCTGCTGGGTCAATCTCGCATCTCCCTCACCTGCCCGATCATGGTTTTGGCCAGCACTTCCGCTCGCCTCGGGCCGCTCAGCATGTCAGCCGCCTTCAGGAAGATCTGGGCTCGGTCCTGGACAGGTTTCAGGTCCCATTCCTTCCTCGCCGCCAAGGCAGCGTTAATGGCTTTGTTAATGAGCTCCTGTGGAAGAAAAAGGGGAAAGGCAGCAAGGAGGAAGCCGCCGCCTCTCCGTCAGCAGGTCGGAGGGGAAGGCGAGGGGCCACCCATCCCTGGACACAAACCACAGCAGCCGTTTTCCCACCACAACCCCAAATTTGCAGCTCCTGGTACTGATTTGTTCCAGGACCCCTGGGACTTGGAAAGCCAACACTCGCCCCCGGAGCCTCCCTGCTCACAATCTGAGCAGCGATTTGCGTTTCATCCAGACTTCTCACCAGCACTCTCAAAGCGCATCATGCTGCAGAGCCCGCTGCGAGATAAGGCTTGCTAAACCCAGGCGAAATGCTGCCGCTTCCCCGCCCCGAAAAAAAAGATGAAAGGAAGAGGGAGGGCAATGAGGTGCGCTCACCTTGTCGGCATAGCAGTACTTGGCCACCTTGTGCGCATGATTGAACGGCTGGAAAGAGAAAAAAAGCCTCTGCAGTTACCGCTCCGACAGACCTCTCTCCTGCTGGGTACATCCCCCTGCCCTGTTCTCACTTGTTAAAGTTTTCCCCCAAACTCACCGACAGCTGGTACCGCACCGTCGGCGTCCACACCTCCTCTCCCCCGATCACGCACGGGATGGCTTCTGTCTTGCCTTTCAGGTCGGCGAGCGCCTGAGCGAGAGGAGGAGGCGAGCGCGGCGGTGGGAGCTGCACGCGCAGACCTCC